GACCTTGTACTAGATGAAATTGAAGTATGGAATAATTTGATCAGATGGGCTCATGCACAACAACCTACCGTTAATAAGGATCCTTCCGAATGGACTAAAGATGAATTAACTTTAATGGAGAGGACGCTATTGAGATTTATCCCATTAATTAGATTTCATGATATTACCTCTGAAGAATATTATGACAAAGTAGTACCATATGATGATTTGCTACCAAAAAAACTAAAAAACGAGATCTTGAAGTTTTACTTGGTTCCACATGCAAAACAGATAGGATCTCTACCATCAAGAATTGCTGTTAATACTATTGATTCTGTTCTTATAAATTCAAAACATTTAGCATTATTTGCAGGTTGGATAGACAAAAAAGACAAATCTTTGAAAATGATTCCTTATCAATTCAATCTTATCTTTCGTGCTAGTAGAGATGGCAATACAGCAGCACCATTTCATAATAAATGTGATAACAAAGGAGCAACTATTATAATTATTAAAATTAAGGGAACTAATCAAATAGTTGGTGGATATAATCCGCTTGATTGGGAAGGGAATGCTATCTACAAAAATACTCAAGATAGTTTCATATTTATTTTTAACGATTATAGAAATATTAATACGGGTAAAATTGGAAGAGTAACTGATGCTTCTCATGCTTTGATATGTAATCCTTATTGGGGACCAGTTTTCGGGCTTAACTGTTGTGATATGGCAATGTACCCTGACAACAAAAATAATGAGTGGAGTTCTAATCCAAAATCCTATCCTAATCTCAATATTCCAGGGAGTTTTGAAATCGATGATTATGAAGCTTTTCAGGTGGTTAAAAAATAGATTTTAACATGTCAAAAAGGACAAGCAAGTTTTTTCCATTTAAAATTAACAGTAATACTAATATCATAGTATAATAAAAGCAAAACATTAAATTAAAGGAATTAAAAAAAAATGTAACATATTGATTTTTGTTATCATGTTAATTCTAAATATTTTATCTGACAAACTGTTAACCAGCTAAATATTTTTTTTTTTCGTTGAAGTTATTTGCATAAGAATGCTAATTCAGAGTGAAATAATTTTTTATTTTTAATAGTACAGTATGACGAACATTTATCTAATTATTGCTTTAACTGCGATCACTTTAACAAAAATAGGAAATAATATTGCACTGATAAATACTAAATTTAATACAAATATTGGTTTTCGAAATTTCGAATATGAAAACAAATTTGTAAGTTGAGTGTATTAAGTCCATTCGAAGTTTTGGACTCTAAAAATATATAATAAATGAAGCAGAACGCTTGATAGGCGTAAATTATCTACAAGCACGTGATATAGTATATAACGTGATTAATCGATTTTGTTATCAGTTATTGTCACGAAAAAGCAGTCAAATTTGATGAACATCACTTACGTAATCCAACTTTGTCAATAAATGGAAATGTGTTTGTTTCAACATTACTTTCTTTCACAATTCCTTTTGTTTCTTTACAAAAATGCAACAAGAGTTATTTTTACCGGTTTCGAATAATTTTGAAAAATTATTTTTGTCAAAAAAGGATTATGATGTTATTATAAAAGCTGGAGAAGATAATGATCAAAGAGAAATTTACGCTCATTCAAACATTCTTCGCTGTCAATCAGATTATTTTGATACAGCTTTTTCTTCTAATTGGGCTGAAAAAAAGGATGGAAAGTATTTTTTTAAGAAACCAAATATTTTGCCACATATTTTTGAAATTATTATAAGGTATTGAAATTTTTAATTAAAAATTAAAGAAATTTTTTGTTTATTAGTAATCTAAAATCTTATTTAAAATCGAAATCTAGATATTTATATTGTGGTCAATTAGACTTAAATGTCAAAAATGGGCCAGATACCTTAAAATTGTTAGTTGCTACAGAGGAACTTGGTTTGAATATACTCAGCGAATATATCCAAGAATTTTTAATTAAACAAAATGATCCTATTGGAATTCTTGAAGTAGCTTTTCAACATGAAAATTTTACAACGTTGAGAGGTTATGGCCTAGAAGCGATCTGCCAAGATCCATACATTTTATTTGGAACTGACAAAATATTATCATTGCCTGCACAGATATTGGAATCATTACTTAAACGAGACGACCTTGTACTAGATGAAATTGAAGTATGGAATAATTTGATCAGATGGGCTCATGCACAACAACCTACCGTTAATAAGGATCCTTCCGAATGGACTAAAGATGAATTAACTTTAATGGAGAGGACGCTATTGAGATTTATCCCATTAATTAGATTTCATGATATTACCTCTGAAGAATATTATGACAAAGTAGTACCATATGATGATTTGCTACCAAAAAAACTAAAAAACGAGATCTTGAAGTTTTACTTGGTTCCACATGCAAAACAGATAGGATCTCTACCATCAAGAATTGCTGTTAGTACTATTGATTCTGTTCTTATAAATTCAAAACATTTAGCATTATTTGCAGGTTGGATAGACAAAAAAGACAAATCTTTGAAAATGATTCCTTATGAATTTAATCTTATCCTTCGTGCTAGTAGAGATGGCAATACAGCAGCAGCATTTCATAATAAATGTAATAACAAAGGAGCAACTATTATAGTTATTAAAATTAAGGGAACTAATCAAATAGTCGGTGGATATAATCCGCTTGATTGGGAAGGGAATGCTATCTACAAAAATACCCAAGATAGTTTTATATTTATTTTTAACGATTATAGAGATATTAATACGGGTAAAATTGGAAGAGTAATTGATGCTTCTCATGCTTTGGTATGTAATAATCAATACGGGCCAATTTTCGGGACTGGCCATGATATAATAATGTATAATAATAATAATAAATGGAATTCCAATCCAGGTTCCTATCCTAATCTCAATATTCCAGAGAGTTTTGAAATCGATGATTATGAAGCATTTCAGGTGGTTAAAAAATAGGTTTTAATATGTTAAAAAGAACAAGCAAGTTTTTTCCCATAAAAATTAACAGTATGTACTGATATCATAGTCATAGTATAATAAAGGCAAGACATTAAATTAAAGGAATTAAATAAAATGTATTGTTAATTCTAAATATTTTTTATCTAACAAACTGTTCATTAGTAACCAGCTAAATATTTTTTTTTTTTTCGTTGAAGTTATTTGCATAAGAATGCTAATTCAGAGTAAATAAATTTTTTATAGTATGACGAACATTTATCTAATTATTGCTTTAACTGCGATCACTTTAACAAAAATAGGAAATAATATTGCAAAGATAAATACTAAATTTAATACATATATTGGTTTCGAAATTTCGAATATGAAAACAAAATTGTAAGTTGAGTGTATTAAGTCCATTCGAAGTTTTGAACTCAAAAATATATAATAAATGAAGCAGAGCGCGTAAATTATCTATAAGCACGTGATACAGTATATAACGTGATTAATCGATTTTGTTATTGTCACGAAAAAGCGGTCAAATTTGATGAACATCACTTACGTAAACCAACTTTGTCAATAAATGGAAATGTGTTTGTTTCAGCATTACTTTCTTTCACAATTCCTTTTGTTTCATTACAAAAATGCAACAAGAGTTATTTTTACCGGTTTCGAATAATTTTGAAAAATTATTTTTGTCAAAAAAGGATTATGATGTTATTATAAAAGCTGGAGAAGATAATGATCAAAGAGAAATTTACGCTCATTCAAACATTCTTCGCTGTCAATCAGATTATTTTGATACAGCTTTTTCTTCTAATTGGGCTGAAAAAAAGGATGGAAAGTATTTTTTTAAGAAACCAAATATTTTGCCACATATTTTTGAAATTATTATAAGGTATTGAAATTTTTAATTAAAAATTAAAGAAATTTTTTGTTTATTAGTAATCTAAAATCTTATTTAAAATCGAAATCTAGATATTTATATTGTGGTCAATTAGACTTAAATGTCAAAAATGGGCCAGATACCTTAAAATTGTTAGTTGCTACAGAGGAACTTGGTTTGAATATACTCAGCGAATATATCCAAGAATTTTTAATTAAACAAAATGATCCTATTGGAATTCTTGAAGTAGCTTTTCAACATGAAAATTTTACAACGTTGAGAGGTTATGGCCTAGAAGCGATCTGCCAAGATCCATACATTTTATTTGGAACTGACAAAATATTATCATTGCCTGCACAGATATTGGAATCATTACTTAAACGAGACGACCTTGTACTAGATGAAATTGAAGTATGGAATAATTTGATCAGATGGGCTCATGCACAACAACCTACCGTTAATAAGGATCCTTCCGAATGGACTAAAGATGAATTAACTTTAATGGAGAGGACGCTATTGAGATTTATCCCATTAATTAGATTTCATGATATTACCTCTGAAGAATATTATGACAAAGTAGTACCATATGAGGATTTGCTACCAAAAAAACTAAAAAACGAAATTTTGAAGTTTTACCTGGTTTCACAAGAAAAACAGATAGGATCTCTACCGTCAAGAAATGTTATTGATTCTGCTCTTATAAATTCAAAACATTTAGCATTATTTGCAGGTTGGATAGACAAAAAAGACAAATCTTTGAAAATGATTCCTTATGAATTTAATCTTATCTTTCGTGCTAGTAGAGATGGCAATACAGCAGCAGCATTTCATAATAAATGTAATAACAAAAGAGCAACTATTATAGTTATTAAAATTAAGGGAACTAATCAAATAGTTGGTGGATATAATCCGCTTGATTGGGAAGGGGGTGGTATCATCAAAGATACTCAAGATAGTTTTATATTTAACTTTACCGATTTTAGAGATATTAATACGGGTAAAATTGGAAGAGTAACTAGCGCTTCTTATGCTTTGATATGTAATCATCAATGGGGGCCAATTTTCGGAAATGGACATGATTTATCAATGTACCCTGACAACCAAAATAATAAATGGTATTCTAATCCAATGACCTATCCTAATCTCAATATTCCAAGGAATTTTGAAATCGATGATTATGAAGCTTATCAGGTGGTTAAAAAATAGACTTTAATATGTTAAAAATAACAAGCTCCATTGAAATTAACAGTAAATACTTATATCATGTTATAATAAAGGCAAGACATTAAATTAAAGGAATTAAAAAAAAATGTAACATATTGATTTTTTTATTTTTTTTTATTTTATTTAATGAACGCTTACTGATGTTCATTCTTATTTTTTGTAGTTTGTTTTTTTGTTAATTCTAAATATTTTATCTGACCAACTGTTAACCAGCTAAATATTTTTTTTCGTTGAAGTTATCTAATTATTGCTTTAACTGCTATTACTTTAACAAAAAAGGAAATAATATTGCACTGATAAATACTAAATTCAATATACATACAGTATCATGTTGGTTTTCGAAATTGTAAATTGGGTGTATTAAGTAGTCCATTCGAAGTTTTGGACTCAAAAATATAAAATTTATTTATTTATAGGCGCTAAATTGGTATAATTATCTACAAGCACGTGATACAGTATATAACGTGATTAATCTATTTTTTTATTGTCACGAAAAAGCTGTAGATCTGGATAATATAAGTCAAATTTGATGAACATCACTTACGTAACGTGTGAAACCAATTAATCAATAAAAAGGAAACGTGTTAAACGCGTTTATGATTACAAAATCAATTTCTTTACGCGATTTCTTCGTACCTTTTTACAAAAATGCCAAAAATGCAACAAGAGTTATTTTTACCGATTTTGAGTAATCTTGAAAAATTATTTGAGTCAAAAAAGGATTATGATGTTATTATAAAAGCTGGAGATGATGATGATCAAAAAGAAATTTACGCTCATTCAAACATTCTTAGCTGTCAATCAGATTATTTTGATACAGCTTTTTCTTCTAACTGGGCTGAAAAAATAGATGGAAAGTACGTTTTTAACAAACCAAATATTTCGCCACATATTTTTGAAATTATTATAAGGTATTGAAAATTTTAATTAAAAAAATTAAAAAAAATTTTTTTTTTATTTATAATCTAAAATCTTATTTAAAATCGAAATCTAGATATTTATATTGTGGTCAATTAGATTTAAATGTCAACAATGGGCCAGATATCTCAAAATTATTAGTCGCTACAGGGGAACTTGGGTTGGATACACTTGGCGAATATATCCAAGAATTTTTAATTAAACAAAATGATCCTATTGGAATTCTTGAAGTAGCTTTTCAACATGAAAATTTTACAACGTTGAGAGGTTATGGCCTAGAAGCGATCTGCCAAGATCCATACATTTTATTTGGAACTGACAAAATATTATCATTGCCTGCACAGATATTGGAATCATTACTTAAACGAGACGACCTTGTACTAGATGAAATTGAAGTATGGAATAATTTGATCAGATGGGCTCATGCACAACAACCTACCGTTAATAAGGATCCTTCCGAATGGACTAAAGATGAATTAACTTTAATGGAGAGGACGCTATTGAGATTTATCCCATTAATTAGATTTCATGATATTACCTCTGAAGAATATTATGACAAAGTAGTACCATATGATGATTTGCTACCAAAAAAACTAAAAAACGAGATCTTGAAGTTTTATTTGGTTCCACATGCAAAACAGATAGGATCTCTACCATCAAGAATTGCTGTTAATACTATTGATTCTGTTCTTATAAATTCAAAACATTTAGCATTATTTGCAGGTTGGATAGACAAAAAAGACACATCTTTGAAAATAAATCCTTATGAATTTAATCTTATCTTTCGTGCTAGTAGAGATGGCAATACAGCAGCAGCATTTCATAATAAATGTAATAACAAAGGAGCAACTATTATAGTTATTAAAATTAAGGGAACTAATAAAATAGTTGGTGGATATAATCCGCTTGATTGGGAAGGGAGTGGTATCTTCAAAGATACTCAAGATAGTTTTGTATATATCTTTAACGATTATAGAGATATTAATAGGGGTAAAATTGGAAGAGTAACCGATGCTTCTCATGCTTTGATATGTAATCATCAATGGGGACCAATTTTCGGGTATAACTATGATATAGCAATGTACCCTGACAGCCAAAATAACAAATGGTATTCTAAACCAAATTCCTATCCTAATATCAATATTCCAGGGAGTTTTGAAATCGATGATTATGAAGCTTTTCAGGTGGTTAAAAAATAGATTTTAATATGTTAGAAAGAACAAGCAAGTTTTTTTCCATTAGAATTAACAGTATGTACTGATATCATAGTATAATAAAGGCAAGACATTAAAATAAAGAAATTAAAACGTAACATATTGATTTTTGTTTTCTTGTTGCATTATCCATAATAACGATATAACGTGTAAAACGGGTTAAATAACCGATAAATACGCCTATTATTAAGGCAAACTTTTATTTATGTAGAGACTAACTATTTAAGGAATTATATGATCTACAAATTATAGAAAAGTGGAAACGTTTTGCTTAAAAACAAAGAAAAAACAAAACCAAAATAAAGAATGAATTGATAATAAATTGAACTAGGAATAATGATGTAATTTAATTAATATGTTTCGGTAATTCACACTCTAATATACTGTAGATATTTTTTTCAAATGAAATAATTCCTGACCCCTGAACCCTAACATTTTCTACCGAAATAACATCTTACGAAATCTAAAACGAATGATTAATTGAAATTAGATATTTCTTATTGATTTGGTTACATTAATTTTTAATAATCATTATTAGTACACTAAAACCTTCCAGAATTCACAAATCATGCCACGCAAATTAATTACAACTTACTATAAATTTTTACATATTCATCAGGTACCAGGACCAACCGTTTCTCTAAGACCTTGTAAGATGTCATAAATTAAACCGACGTCATAATGTTCGCCTTTAGCATAAAAAGTTGGTTGTCCACTAGATATTTCCAAAAATAATACGCCAGGGCTTTGCGAACAATCATTTGCGAATATCCGGTAAAATTTTTGCAAGGGTTTCTTAAGTTTTTGATAATCGAAGGAAGCGACCTTAAAAATGAGGGAAGAATATAGAAAGAAATTAGTATCTAACATTAAAAATAAAA